CCCGTTTATATCCGCAGCATTCGGCGGCAGCCTCGAGTAGGCCTCTCTAAAACAGCTGCCACTCTGTTTGAACATCAGTTGTCATCGCTGGGATCTGTTCAAACCGTCGTGTGATGTTGTTTGCAAATTTCGCTTTCGTGTCGACCGAAGACAATGTTTCCCATTCGATTCTCCGGTTGCTTCTGCCACGGGATCTTCGTATGGTACTCCATTTCTTACAGCGCAGCGTGCCAAGAACAAGGTTGTGATCGGTTGATAGTTCTGCGCCTCTTTTAACAGGAACATGCATTACTGAGCGTCTTAGGTCAGACGTTCTAGTAGGAACTGACATGTATAAATGACCTATGAGCGGAAGTCAAAAATATTTCCGCTCACCTTCTCCATCCTAACTAAAATGGGTAGAAAAATTAAAAATGAATATACCGCATCTTCTTTTGCACGGGTTACTATCTGTGGGGTAAATAATGCACGCGTTCAAACCTTAGGCAAAGCGGTTCGTTGGAAATCATGATATACTCTCCAAGAGCTGTTCGTGCGCGGAATTATCTAGGTTCTAATTAAACCCAATCAATAGATCTGCTACCAGTTAAGGATGTCAACTAGAAGCAACATGAAATTTCTGAATGACTGCAGGGGGTCGAAAATGGAACCGAAAAAGTCAACAGAGCATTACTGGTAGAAACCGGAATGTTTGCTCTTTGGCTGAGAAGGAATGGAAAAATATTAAAGAAAAGCGCCACCACCTCGATATGGTTACAATCTGTACAACCAAGGACCACAGTTCCAGCCTTCAACCTGACAACCGGTAACAGTTCTTTTGCTTCAGAATTGAGCAGACCATTTCAGAAAAGCTGATATAGCGATACTCGTCAGTACGCAGTTGACAAACCATGTTGTTGAATGGCTCGCTTCAGAAAGAGATTTGTTCAATGAAGCTCAGACTTTAACGAACCAAGGTTCTGTCGCAAGGGCGTACACCCATCTAGAGCTAAATTACGAATATTCCTGAATAACATGCATAAATGTGGAAAAACAAGATTGTTCATGCAGCAAAACCATTTGACATGGTTCTGGAGAACCAAAAATTTCAATCACCTGCAACCTCTGCATTCGGTTAACATTGTGATTATGGTGATGAACACTGTCCGTGTCATCGAAAATTGGTCTGCTAAGAAAATCCTTCAACTTACATTCTCTCCTGCAACCACAGAAATAAGAACGTTAACCATTCCTACAACTGTTTTCTAGGCAATGATCATGCATTAACTTCAGAACATAACTGAACAAACATTCCTCTAAAAGACAGACAGTCAAATGTTTAACTGAAAAATTATAAAATGTTACCCGATCTTTCTGGGTATATAGCACGAGTGGGAGCTTTCGATACTGCCGTTAAACATATGACGTAACAAATAATGATACTGAATTTAAACGGCTAAAATATGCGTGTAGAAAAAGAAAAATTGCTCTTAAGTTCCCTTAAGCGACTAGAACTATGGATGCGGTGCAATATCGCGGTACAACCCGGCGTAAAACTTCCATTCATCTTACATCGCAGCAATGTCAGTGTAAAATAAGAAAAAAATACTTTCTTTACACGGTACATTTTCGTCGTTTAAATCGAGTACGATTATTTGTAATGTTAATTCTTTAATTACTTGAAAGAAAGCTGATGTCTTTTAACAAATGCCTACGAACAACAGCGTACAAGATCAGCAACAATTTTAGCTCAGAGACTGTGAGAACAAATAAAAGCAAAAAAGCGGTTAAGCCATCTAACAGATTTTCGAATCAGATTCGGTGAACAAAATTCAGTCGTGAGATTAAAAAATAAAACATTTGCATCCATACCTGGGTTCAAAGGCTGCTTCAAGAGGTCGAATACGAACACTTCAGAACTTGGAGTTTTGGTCGCTATAATGTTCGTGTTCTGTGGCATGTAACGTGCCCTGTTTACCTCTCCGTCATGGTTGATACGTTGATAGACTTCAATGTTGAAGCCAGCACCACCGAAACCGCCGAATTCTGTAAAAAGAAAGGTAAAACTTGGAAATGGCACCTTCTCGTACTGCTGTTCTCGGCATCATACGTAGAGACGTCAAACCGAGCGTTATCAGTCGGCAGATGCACCGAAGCGATGATTAGGTAATTTTGTTCTTCAGATGTGTGTGTACCGTAAATCAGCTTGTGTATGACGTAATCATCCCGAGTCGACCTCAAAGAGGAACACACTGATACCAGTACAACATTTATTTAACGATCTGAAATATACGTAAGTCTCAAATGCAATAAACAATTATCGCTTACAGAAGAGAACTGGCATGGAAGTTCGTACAGACAGAGCAGAATGCAATTATTGCAATAAATGAATTTAGAGCAATTCGCTCGTACATTGGTGGTCATACTTAAAAAAATGCGTAAAACACTGCTTATTTAGACACGTGCATAAGTAAATCGTGTTTACGCCAACGCCATTTTCTCAGTTTGACAACCAACGCACGAACGAATTACTCTATCTTCGGATACATACAAAAGTATTACGACTCGATTGCTTCTTCAGAATTCAGGCAAATATAAAAAGAAATGTGACGGTACTCCAAACGTAAGAGCGACCTAATATTTCTTCTCAAATACTGAGACCTCGACCTGCCCTGCAAATTTCTCCAAATAAAGATGCCTTCAATACCTCTGACAAAGAACTCCGCACACTTAAGACGAGGGAAAGAAGGCTGCTGAGACTTAGCATTAGAAATACAAGAAAACAACTGCAATTTATCCTCCAATAAATCAACCGAATCAAAGGAAAGATGCAGAGAACAAACTCCACCGAATTCTAAGATAACCTACTGTATTATCTCCATAGCCAGAGCTACAATTTCTTCATACGAAACGGTGTGATGCATGTAAAGAAACTGAATAACCTTCTTAAATGGATAAAAACCTTTGTTAGTAAAAGCCCTGACAATCTCTCTGCTTGCAGCAACAACAGAACTCTAATTAATCTACGGTTCAAATGTCTAAAGACCAAATAACTGTTTTAAATAAAGGCTCAAATTTTAGTGTGGCAAACACCTTTTCCCCTATTTCAAACTATATCCTATATAGAAATTCAAGTCCCTCGTAAACTTAATAAGAACAATAAAGCCTCTAAAAGATGACATTAAACCCCTGATAACTCAAAATAAACCGCTTAAGCCTAACTTGACCGTAACACAATTTAAAGCTATTAAATCTCTAAAATTAAGCAGTAACATTATAATTAAAAAAACAGATAAAGGTAACATCACGGTGCCCATGGATAAAGCAGATTACATCAACAATGTCACGATGTACTCAACGCCTCATGCCTCTGGCTGGACACCAAACTCACTTCCTTTCTTGTCCACCAACTTCGAACTCTTCTACAGGATATTGTCAAACATGACCATCTAGACCCTAGGATCTTCAGCTTCATAGAAACACCCTTTAAATTCAACCGTAACCATTTGGCAGGGTACTTTTACTACTTACATAAAATACACAAGCCTAACGTTCCCTCCAGACCTACTGTCTCCGCTGTGACCTGCTTTCTTTGCGGCGGTTTCTAAATTGACCGCTACAACACCCATCTTAAACCAAACACTCTTACAAGTTTTGCAAAGAACTGAAACAAATTAAGCCCTAAAAAGGTAACATTATTAACGTTAAAAACGTATTTGCTAACATATATTAACCTTACTTTTAAAAGAATTGGTAAACTTCTTCAAAGAGAAAACCAACTTAAACAACGTGCTAGCCTCTCTGCTAACTCAATAACAATTTTCCGTATGGTAGAGGCGAATTATTTCTGCTAATTGTCGATTCTCGTAAACCTACTAAGATTGGCAAATATCTAAACTTGAAATCACATAATCATTTAAACAACAAGCACTCTGCGGTTACAGCTTTAATAAACAGACAGCCCTGAAGCTTTGTAGTAATTAATTTTTTACAGACGAAATAAAGCATATCAAACCTATCAAACTAACCTTGACCAATAACAATAATCATCCAGCAAAACTAGTTAATAACATCATATATCATAGAAAAAACCACTTTAAATCTATTTTTATTACTAACAAGACTAATAATAATCCCTGCTCAATTCTACCGTATCATAAAATCCTCAGTGAAAATTTACAAGGATCACTTAACGTTAAATGCAATATTAATGTTACATATAAAAACTCTAATAAACTTAATGTGTTATTAAATAATTCTGAGAATAACTCTCTAGGGAGGATTTACAAATTACAATGTAACTTCGAGAAATATTACACAGGCGAAACAGAGAATACTGCCACGCAGAGAACAAAGACTCGGCATTCAAGCTGGAGAAAATGGATGATCACGGACGAGCGTGAGCGACAGGTCATAACGAAGCACCCAGGAAGAAAACAAAGCCTCGCCCCAGACAAAGTCAAGGAACAACGCGAGAAGACCTCCTAGACTGTGCAGCATGGGGCCGAGAACGGACACTACCATCGATTGTCTGAGCATAGTGGTATCCTCAAAGAGATGCATTGGCTACGCACGCGGATAAAAAAGACACTAATCACCCAAACCTGAAAAACGGCAACAGTGACAAAGGACACTAACTCTGCACGGATTGGATGAGCTTCGTTGCCCCGTCGCCAAAAAAACTCTTCAACAAGCAACACTGACCGAAAGCTTGCCTTTTGGCACCGAAACTGCCGACTGCTCTGGACGACCAACTACAGTCACGAAACTTCACCAACAACCTACCTTGAAGAAGACCCGTGAGGCACGGGCTGAAACGTCTGTAATTGTCAATCACAAGACTAACCATGGTGTCTTTTGCGCTGCTTATAAGTAAACCATGTTTTACATAATTTTTTAAATAAAGAGATTTACA